CCAACCACATCGAGAGGAAGAAAAATCTTTGAGAAGGTATTGGAGCTCAAAACCATGGTGAGCGGGTAATTTTGCAAAGATCCAAGACCAGGCAGAAAAAAGGAAAATAAACACAACTGGTAGTCAGTCCATATCTCTCTGAAGATTGTGGCAAAATGCTTCACATTTTCTTAATGGTAATTAATGAGTTTTTCATACCTTTATAAACAAAATATACAGTCAATTCACTTTACAGTATATTCTGTGAAGCGCTTTGAGATGTCGCGAAGACGTGATAAGGCGCTATATCAAATGCAAGGATTTTAATAATCTCATGGTGGATATCTGCTGCTCGGTGTCTGTCCTCACTGTGAGAAAGATGGCAGTGTTTTCACTTTGCTGGAGAACTGAAAACAATTTGTCATTTCTTTTCAAAGAAAGTATGTGCTGATTTATGATCTGATTGCACAGTTCCTCTGAGGGCCTTTCGGTGTTGGAGACATTAAACGCCAAGGTAAAATACAGGTAAAATACTACTATGAAAATAACAGACTGAGATCTCGGGTTTTCTGCACGTCCCTTGTCCTCTCCACTCCACCATTGGTGGTCGTGCTTTCAGCCACTGTACCATGAATTTCTGGAACTCCCTGCCTCAATCTCTCTGTCTTGACCCCTTATAGCACGGCTTGCAATCCCCCTGTAGACTTTCCTCTTTGACCGTGGCCTCATCTCCCCTCTCTTTGCAACTTGGATATTTTTGAAATATAAAATAAAATTTTACACATATAATTAAATTTTATGTACAAAATTAAATTGACAAAAATATTCAGATAATTCACTTTACAGGATATTCTGTGAAGCACTTTAAGGCGCTATATCAAATGCAAGGATTATTATTATTATTAAACAAACTACTCAGGCATTATTATTGTTGGCATCAAAACCACGCCGCTGTAAAGCGCTCTGAGATGCTACCTGCATGAAGGGCGCTATTAAATTCAGGTTGTTGTGTTGTTGAGATAACTCTTTGGTGCTGTGTTACACTCACATGCTCAGCTTCCAAGTAATTCTCCTCCAGTATGAGCTGCATTCCACTTCTGTTGTCCTCTGAAGCACTTGAAATGCTTCACCTCTATGTCATGTTTTCCTTTTGATCTTGAATGACAAGTGGAATATATATGCTGCTATGTGTGTTTATATATTCAGTACTGCATTTGCAGGGTTCCTGTATTCACTATCTGGTGAGCTTCTGGGAGGCATGCACCTTCATCACACAGAAGCACTTGAGATCTGAGTGTGTTTCAGATGATTTTCTTGCAGGAATGTTGATTGAAAAGATAAGAAAAGAAAATCCTAGTTGAAATCGCACTTACATCTATAGCTGCATTTTGTTACTGGAATGATTTGCAAAGTGTGAAGTGCAGCTAAAAAGGGAGCTGTGATATATTTTGCATCTGATTTCAGTTCATTTCATTTAAAAGATATTTTCCTGTTGTTCGGAGCTGAGAATTTAATTATGATTTGATTTAGGTGTTTTCTTGGCAGGGAAGATGAGGAAGAAAGGTACTTAGTCAGAGTGGAAGAAAAAGCAGGGGGAAAATGTTTGATAAGAAGCTTGTGCTACCTAGCTTCTGCCACTAGAGACCACTGCAGTGTTTAACATTTATTTCAGCCGCTGCGTGAATTGCGTTGCCCAAATGATGCTGTGAGAATTTTTTTTAACTGTCTTTAGGAATAGCACAATATTTGAGACACCCTGAATTTATTCTCTCTCACCTCCCGAGCCACCCTCAAACCAGCCTCCCAAATGTGCCTTGATAAATAACAACAACAACTTGCATTCATAAATTGCTTTTCACTCTGGATAGCATTTTGGAGTGCAGGTAATGAGATGCAATCCCATATTCCATAACTACCTCAGTACACTGATAGGAGTGTTAAAAATCAGCATAGGCCTTCTGTATTCTTCCCAATCTCCAGCCACATTCTGCTAATTTTATTACCTAACAGCATTTACAGCCTCTGAGAAAACATGTTCCCCGTTAAACTGCCGAAGGGAATACCTTCTGTATTGATTGTCCACAATATTGTAGTATATTGAGATAATCCTATGATTGTAATGTTTCATTGAATTCAATCACATGTTGTAACATAGAAAAAAGCCATTTGGCTCATCGTAGTCTCGCTTCTCTGGAGGAGCTATCTAATTCCTTTCACTTTCCCCTTACCCTTCTGGAGCTGCAAGACTCTACCACGTGTGAAGTGCACTAAATAAATGTAAATTGTTGTTGTACCTTTTTATAATAATAATTGTTGCATTTGATGCAGCGCCTTTCTCAATGGCATGATGCCTCAAAATGTTTCACAGGATTTACTGTAAAGTGTACTGCTTCTTTTATGTACATGAGTTGATCTTCTATCGTGGCTCTTCAATGTTTATCCCATTACTTTTGAGCTTTGCTCAAACATCTAGTAATAAATTCCTGCTTTTACAAATTTTCCATTCATTGTTCCTTGACTACACACAGCCAGTACCTCTACCTTAGCTGGATACAACTGCATAGAAAGCATGATGGATTAGTGGGTAAATCTCTCATCAGGGTCAGAGTGACTGAGCATTTGGACAAGTATGAGCTCATCAAAGAGAGTCAGCATGGATTTATTAAGTGTAGGTCATGTCTGATGAATCTAATTGAATTTTTTGAGGAGGTCACTAACATGGTGGACAAGAGTGTCTATGGATGTCATCTACATGGACTTTCAGAAGGCATTTGATAAGGTTCCACACAAGAGGTTATTAGCAAAAATGAAAGCGGATGGATTCAGAGGTAACATTGCTTGGTAATTGATTGGGAAGCAGGAAACAGAGAGTAGGGATAAAAGGAAGGTTCTCTGATTGATGGGACGTGATAAGTGGTGGCCCCAGGTGTCTCTGTACTAGGGCCTCAGCTTTTCACCATATATATGGATAATTATTTGGGGAGGACAAGTTTGCAGGGTATGGGGAGAGAGTGGGGGAGTGGGATTGAATTCTCTTTTCAAAGAGCTGCCACAGACACAATGGGCCGAATGGCTTCCTTCTGTGCTGTAACATTCTATGATTCTATGATATAAATGACTTGGATGAAGGAATAAAGAGTTTTATATTAAAATCTGCAGATGGCACAAAGTTAGGAGGCACAGTAAACTGTGTAGATGGGAGCAGGATGTTACAAAGGGACTTAGATTAAGTGAGTGGGCAAAACTTTGGAAGATGGAATTCAATGTGGGGAAGTGTGTTGACATCCACTATGGATCCCAAAATACCAAAACAGCATATTTCTAATATTTTCAAAGCTAAGAACTGTGGAGGAGCAAAGGGTTTGGGTGTCCACGTACACAAATCACTAAAAACAAACTCACAGGTGCAAAAAGTTATCGAAAAGGCTGATGGGATGTTGGCGTTTATCACAAGGGGTTGCAATATAAAGAAGAGGAAATGATGCTTCAACTTTATAGGCCTTGGTCAGACTCCATCTAGAGTACTGTGTTCAGTTTTAGGCACCACACCTCAGAAAGGATATATTGGCTCTGGAGGGGATGCAGCACAGATTCACCAGAATTATACCAGGGCTTAAAGGGTTGAACTATGAGGACAGGTTGCATAAACTTGGTCTCTATTCTCTTGATTTGAGGAGGTTGATGGGTGATCTAATTGAGGTTTTTAAAATAATAAAGGGATCCAATAGGGTAGATAAAGATAAACTATTTCCTCTGGTGGGGAATCCAGAATAAGGGGGTCATAATCTTAAAATTAGAGCTAGGCCATTTAGGAGTGAAAGCAGGAGGCAGTTTTTCAACCAAAGGATAGTGGAAATCTGGAACTTTCCCCCAAAAGGCTGTGGATGCTGGATCCATTCAAATTATCAAGACTGAAATGGATAGATACTTGTTAGGTAAGATTATCAAGGGATATGGGGCAAGGGTGGGTAATTGGAGTTGAGGTACAGATCAGCCATGATCTTTTTTGATTGGTGGAACAAGCTCAAGGAGATGAATGGCCTACTTCTGTTCCTATGTTCCTAATAACCTTATGAAATATTAAATGTACTACTGCAGGCAATCATTTTTATGTTTCCATTTCTTTAGCGAATTTGAATTAACTGTGAATATTTAGTAGTGTAGAGTTTACAGCAGGTCTGCTTTAGGGGTTGTAAGTGAAATATCATTTGCCTGCCTTATTACCATTAATTCGAGAACCATCTCTAACCCTCGCTCCTCCACCCCCAAATTAGCCACTTGCTAGAAACGTTAGAGCCCCTGGACAAAAAAGAGTAGAATATTTCCCAATTACTGTATTATTATTGTTAGTGTGGAGACGTCTGTGCGTTTATCTGCACAGCACAGGTTCAGCACAAGTTGATTTCAGCTCATTTCTGTCTTGAGAACGGATAGAACTGAATTCCCATTGAGGATCCAGCTCCCCTTCTCCCCCCCCCCCCCACCCCCACCCCATTGTGAGCTGAGCCATGAAATTTAAGCAATCAAAGATTTCTTTTCAGTCCTCCACCCAATCATCATAGCAATCATTGCCCTTTTGACCTATGGTGAGAACTCACATTGAATCATAGAAGAAAATAATTCAGTCGCTTAATATTCACCTATTTGAAGCGTCAGATACATACATTTATTTCTCTTACAAAAGAGAACGGTCCAGTTATGATATTACATCTTAAAAGGAGGCTTATACTCCCATCAGTGTAGCAAGGATGATTTATTTCAAACCGTCATTTTTGATGTACATTCATTGTGCCTTTCAGGCCAGTGTGACATTGCTTTCATTGGACAGGTTTACAGTAAGTTCAGTTTCTCTTAAAGCCAGCCGGGTTCTGTTGTATTCGCTCCCTTGGAGAAAAGGCTTGGGGCATGAAGTGGATGCACAGGCCCGTGGATTGCATGAAACAGCAGCATTTGGTGTAGGCATGACGGGCATTCAGGTTTATAAATGGATTGAAATTGTCATTCTTTTATTGCTTTTCCAGGCTATTACCCATTGAAACCTTCCAAACTGTACTCACCACAAGAATTTCAACCGACCTTCCCGATTCCCTTCCCATTCAACTCCAATACTATGTTGGATCGAGACATGGGGTAAGTGTAATGTTTTCACAAACCCTAGTTTGATGCTTGTTTGTGCTTTGGCTTGAAGCAAGTCATTTAAATTTGCTTTGCAGACATAAAGTAAAAATATTGCAAGCCCAAAATAAAAGCTGCAACAAGAAGTTAGTCAACCAGCTTCTGCAGGGGAAAGACAGGTTAATGCTTTGTGGGCAACTCTTTATCTAGGTTCAGACAAAGGGCCAAGCCCACAGTTCTGTCCTAAAATAAATCAGAAGGGCTGCTCTGAAAATGGTTCTAACCACCTTAAAGAAAGGTTCAGTGCTAATGTTTTGAAGTTGCTAGAATGAAGGTTTAATTGAAGGTTGCTCAGTGAATGCAGCCCATTGCAATTTTCCTGTGCTGCTTTTACGTGACCAGCTTCTCTCCTGAGGCAAGCCTGCAAATTTGGAAGAACCCTGTTTGGAGTCTTGCAAGTAAGAGGACCCAGGTTTGATTCCCTGGCAGGGCAAAACCTGAGGCAAGTTTCGTTACTTCACACGTCTGTTTACCTAGCAGTAATGCGCCGGTTGTTAGTCTATTAGCAGATTGTTTTCCAGGGGTAATAATCCCTAAAAAATAATAATAATTTGTTCACCCAAATCCACGACTGTTTGTGGGACACTACTTTGCACAATTGGCTGCTGCATTTCCCACAAAATATACAGTCAATTCACTCTACTGTATATTCTGTGAAGCGCTTTGAAACTTCTCAACAAGGTTAAAGGGCTATATATCAAATGCAAGGATTATTATTATCATTATTATTATTATTTGCAGTCAGATGTCCTGTTGCCTCAGCATTTATGGGAGATCTGACTCATAATTGAAAAGTCCAGTGCAGGAGCAAGTGCGTCCAGTGATGTGCTGAGTCATGCCAGATGTCATTGCTCGAGGCAGTGTGATGACAAGACATTTGGGCGCATCAAAACAATTTAAAATATATGGTTTACAATTTACGCTGCCCAAATAATATGAACGGAATTGGGAAAAGGCTGGGAGCAAAGCTGTCTGATATTTAGATGCATTCTCCAGCCTCCACTGCCATTACTTGAATAATAATAATCTGTACATTTGGGTACCAGCGATTTTGAAAATGAATTTCTGATGGCATTTAATGCCTGGGCCATATTCTAATCTGTGTTTAGACCAAGACACACAAGATTGTTTTGATTTGATTTCATTTTGCAAAGTTGTGTATTCTACAACTGATTTACCAATAGTCTGTAACTTTTCTTAGTTGCTTAAGCCGCTCTGGGTATGGAAAAACTATGTCAGCACAATAAACTCCCTGTGTGTCGCCTGACCTTGTCCCATATAAACCTTTGCTTTAAGGTTTGGCTACCGAGGTTATTTGTTTTTAATCGATTTTACCTTTAGTTTACTCGCTGCAGCATCACATTTAAAATCTTAGATCTAATGCTGAAGAATGGTTTGACCTTAAAGCTGGAAATGTTGAACTGTGGAGTAACAACAACTTGCATTTATATAGGTCCCTCACCCAGGGTAGCATCCCAAAGCTACCATCGGAGTAAGTCAAAACCATGCACAAACATAGAAATGTATCTAAAATAAAATGAATTTGGTGATTTTTCTCCACAATGCTGCTAGTACCAATGGGATTTTATAGTTTCAAAATACAAAGCTGTTCATGTTTTATGCATTGTTAGCTGGGTTATTTATTGCATATGTTTGTAATTATGTGTTTTTCTCATTGTCATTCAGTCCTGCATATCCATCATCCTTCACAGAACCAGATATGGGGTAAGGTGCAGTCATCTACTTACTATGAACATTTTATCTTGTGCATAATGCTCTCTGATTAAATCTATACGCTTAGGTTTATACGCGTATATTTGTGAGTATGTAGCATTGCTATCCCATTGAACTGGCCTTTCCTTCTTGAATGAGATTGACTGAATGCCATTATTGATTCATTGCTGTATAAGTATAGTAATATTTGTTAATTCCTGAACCCTATTCAAACAAGAGCAAAACTTCAATGAAGGAGATATTGTAATCCTATTTTGGTGTTCCATGCTGTTGATGAATGTTAGAAAATGTTGTCCCATTTGGCTGAGGTGGTGCAAGTTATTATATTCCAGGGTTTGTTTGGAACCTCTTGCCTTCACGTTTTTTCCCTCAGGACAGTAACCATAGACTATTGTTCCCAATACCCTTGTTTAAATGATCAAGGATGGAGTGAAGTGTTCCACCCAGTGGCCAATGCTGAGAACAGCTAAAACCCTTGCGAAGAAGCGAACACATGTCAGGCAGCCCTGGGGATATAAACTTGACATAAGGGAGAGTGGGGGAGGAAGAGAAGGGAATGGAGAGTCAATGTTTTGATCATCATTTGTTGGAAGACAGCTGGTTCTGCAGCACATTTAGCCAAGTTTAGCTCGGAGTTTTAAGGAGATGTTTTGTGAAAAGAAAACAGGAACAAATTTGTCTCATGACCAAGTGCAGGATGAAGGACAATGCATTTCATAGTTTTCTGAAAATCTTTTAATGATGGCTTACAGCTGTCAATGCATTCCCTTCTAGTTTTTACCCTTAACTGACTGACTGACTCCCATATGTAAAGCAGACTGCTCGCACTGAAAAATATAATTTCTCCAGTAAGAATGTCCTTCCTGGTGTCTGGCCAATTTCAAGACAGACACCAGGAAGTATGTCTTCACAAAGAGAACATTTAAAAAATTTAAACGTTTACTAGGAAGAGTATCAGAGGCCAGGATGCAAATTAATTTAAGAAAGATCTTGCTGTTACAGGAAGATGGTAGTTGGAGTATGCTGTTAGAATATGGTCAAATGAGTTCAAGGGCTGTCGCTACCTGAACCAATATTGTGACAACAATGATACAATTAACTTTAAACATTTTAATTTCCTAGTCAACTGGCTTTGAAAAAAAATTGCTAAAAAAATTATAATAATCCTTGTGTTTAATAAAGCACCGTATCACTTTGTCAAAACGTCTCAAAGTGCTTTACAGGATGCAATTCTCTCTCGCTACACAAAACTGTTGAATGAGTAAGAAAGAAATCTGAATCCGAGATGATAGAGTTGTTGCTATAGTACGATATTCCTTCCAAAATAGCCATCCTGCTTTCCAGTATATCATCGAGTTGTTTGTTAAATGAGTCCAGTGTCTACTCTCTACTGCTCCACTGTGTGCAGAGTGCCTGAAAGCTTGTCGGGAAGAGAAGAGGATCTTGTGTCAACATTATCAGAGGTCAGTTTCTTCCCGAGAGGATACACTGGAGAGAAAATAAAATGGATGGAAACTCACTCCAAGCTGCTTTTATACAACTCATGGGAACATAGGAATGTGCAGGACTGGAAAAAAATCTTTAGTGGTCCATCTGGATGTAGGTTGCATTCTGAATCTCTTGCCCAGGTATGGTGAGGGGCAAAAATAATAAAGCATCTTCTTTTGTGGTAAACCATGCAACGTGAATAACTGGACATGAATAGCTGATCCTTGGCAGATCAGACCATAATTATCTTCCTTCATATTTCATTTTCTGACTGCATTGTACAACCTTCCGTATTGCAGCCCTTACATGTGGTGTTGCATTCCTTCCTGGATTCCCTTCCAGTTTTTGTCCTTGACTGATTGACTCCCACATGTAAAGCAGACTGCTCGCACTGAAAAATAAAATGTCAACAATTATCCTCTGATCAAAAGGCAGTCACTGAGGTAGATTTTCAGGTAGGATCTGAAAGCAAATAATTGAGGCAGAGGAATTGTGGGAGAGGGTTCCAAATGGAAGAGGTAAAGTGCCTGCCAACGATGGGGTGGAACAGGAAGGGGGTATGGAACAGGCTGTGATTGGCAGATTTCAGGGAGTTTCCAGGGAAGAAGGGTTGTAAGAGATTACAAAAAATCTGCACAATCTGAAATATTACATGAATACAGTAAATCTAGATCCAGATGGAATTTCTCCCCTCAAATTATGTTATCATAAATAATCTTGTATTTGACATAATACGGCAGCTAATTTGTGCACAACAATGTCCAGAAACAGCCACAAAGTGAATGCCCAATTTATCTGAAGAATTATCGGTCAGGACACTAGGAGAAACTCCCTTGTCTTCTTGAAAAATGTCAAGGGATCATTAACAACCACCTGAACAGGCAGATGGAACCTCGATTTAACATTTCATCTGAAGCACAGCATCCATGCAACACTCTCCAGTATTGCGGTGGAGTTTCTACCTAGAGTAGGAGCTCAAAGTCCCATTGGGGAGATTGAACCTACATATATTATTGTTTGATTAGCGAAGAGGTAAGCGATGTGGCTGAGGTGAAGAAAAGCATTTCTTTTCTTCATCTCCTTAGCTCCCACATTGGTGACTTCTGTTTATCTGTTGTGCGTCACAAGAAATTGTGGCTTATCCGATCCGTACATGCAATTCCAAATACTAATACCCATATAAAATAGTCACTTTGATTTTTCTGAAGATTTCAAAGAATTGTATGATCCTAGTGGGAATACTATTTGAATTCATCTTCTGGGAAGGCCTATGAGATTAGAACACGTATTCATTACATCGAGGCTTGACTATGCAAATTCCTTGCTTGTCAACCTCCCCAACTACTCCCTCCACAGGCTGCAGACCATCCAGAATCCTGAAGCCGGTGTCCTCTCCCGCACTAGGCTCCACGACCCTATCACCCCCATCCTTGCCCAACTCCACTTGCTTCCCGTCACACAGAGGATACGGTTCAAGATCCTGGTCCTCCCCTTCAAAGCCCTCCATGGCCTTGCTCCCCTCTACCTTTGTAACCTCCTAAACCCCTACGACCCTGCCCGTTCCCTCTGCTCAGCGGGCTCCGGCCTGCTTCACGTCCCTGCCTCGCCTGCCCCATCATCAGCGGGTGGGCATTCTGCCACTCTGCCCCCACCCTCTGGAACTCCATCCCGCAGTCCATCCCCTCGCCCCCTTCCTTGCCTCCTTCAAGACCCATCTCAAGACTTTTGTTTTCGACCCTGCTTCCAATCACCTTTCTTCTGCCCCTGCCCTCCGCCCTCCCCAATCCAGATCCCCAGCTCGGATCTCAAACTGATTTGGCCAACACCTTGGGACGTCCTCCCGACATAAAAGGTCCTATACAAATGTAATTTTGTTGTTGTTGTAAAAAAGAATATCTTGATTGGGTAGAGTTTAGCAGCATTTGAAACCTAATGCATAATTCATAATATCGCTGATTTCAATTCAGTGTGCTTCCAAAAAGTGAGAATTCACCAAAAAAGCTCTCTTCTGCCTCAGTTCTGCTCTTCCTCATTCTGATGTTCCTCATTGTGATACTTTTGGTCTGTCTTGTGCTTACCAAGGTCAGAGTTACCAGTCCTGGGGAATGAAACATCCTTGCATTCCTATCACATAGTGTCAGCTTCCTAGGTCAGGTAGAATGCAGCCAGATGTAGAGTGCAGCTCCATTCTGCCCTGCCCCAATCTCAGTAGAGCAGTCCCCGTTTGCGCCCATCTTGACTTTTTCTGTTTTCACAGCAGCCAGTTTTGTGACCTCTCTGAGTGAGAAGATCAATTTTGTGCCAATTTGACGGCAGTTTTGTGTTGTGGACCTATTCCCCCTTGTGGGAATATGGGTTGAATATGCACTCATTTTACACAGGACTCTTATAGCCAGCAAAGAAAAGCTCAATGGTAACTTCTAATGAGTATGAAGGGATTCATTTTCCACCTTTTCTTTTTAAGGTAGATATCACAACATTTTGGTCACCCTGTATTTTAACAGTTGTCATCTTTTTTAAGAGGAATGGATGAATGGAAGCTCAACCTCAGGTGGACCGATGTTAAAAATCCCAAGGCACTATTCGAAAAGAGAGGGAGTTTCTCCCAGTGTCCTGGCCAACAATCCCCCAGACAAAATTGGTCACTCACTTTACGGCTGTTTGTGGAACATTATAAAATACAGTCACTACAAATTATAGTAAATCCTGTGAAGCGCTTTGAGACATCCACCTAGCATGAAAGGGTGGATGTCTCATCTGCTTGTCGGTAAACTTACTGAATTTTGTGGTCTGAGTTTCCACTGCCAAGAAGCAAGAGGTGAATGATACATTCTTATTGCCAAAGTTAAAATTGTCCTGACGAATGGAGACAAGTCCGTAATAGTGTGTTTGAGAAGTGGTACTTGTACGGATTCATTACCTATATATGTATAGTTGAGGACCGTGGTGCATTGTATTAACCACGTGCTTGACTTCATCAGAGGAGTTGGGGTTTGGGGTAAAGCTATGGTGATTGGACTGCTAGTTTCTGTGTTGAACTAACTAAGAGTTAGAGTTACTTATCAGAAAATCTAAGCATTTCAGCGAGGATTTTGGAGCACAATACAGTATCAGCATTTACTGTTTATACAAGTTTATAGGTCTTCACATTCCATTTGCAACTCCTCAGCTCTATTGGGGTCAGTGAGTGATCTCCTTATTGAGCCTTTGCTCCTCTCAACGTAGATCCTAAGAGGTAACTTATCTGCTGACTTCCCCTCCTGAGGAAATCCATCAGCATATCAAAATATTACGGCCTTTTTTTGTTCAGCTGGGTGTCTCACAGGTGCAGAAACTCAGCACCATACTTAAATGTATCCAAACCAAATTGAGATTTCATTGAATTCCATCTACTTATGGAAATTCCCATGTCTGGAATGAAATGCACACTCTCTCTCCAGAGGGACAAACCCTGCTGTGTCCCTTCAGAGAACACGGCCAACATTGTAGCCTTGTAAAGTGGA